ATCTAGGTTATTCCCAGGAGAAATCCAGAAGAAGCCTCAAGGTCCCAAGCTTGTTCCCTTAGTCCTCACAGAATGGACCAGATCACACTGCATGCTTGGCTCCCTGTGGGTTTTTTAACCCATGTTGAGCCACTGTGCATAATGGGTGACATTTTGAATATGCAATTGCTGATGGAATTCCAGCATATTGTGCAAACCCAGACATCAGAGGTGATACAAAGATTTGTTTAAACTACAACGGACTCAGCATGCTGTGCAAACTGGGTGGGTGGAAAGTGGTACATAGGCAAACTAAGAAATGCTGTGTCTACTGTTATTTGAAAGCAAGATCTCCTCATTCAGTTGCTGCCCCTACAGGGGAGATGGATAAAAATGGACTATGTAAACCCTTGTAAGTCCTGAACTTAATTTAATTTACTCTGCTCAATTGACTCCACCTTTCTTTTTTTCTTTTGGAAATAAGAAGGCATGTTGCTTGCTAAAGCAGAATTATGCAAAGATGGAAGATTTCCTCACTGAAGAGAAGGGTTCTTTCTCTATTTGCTTTTTATCACTAGGTAATTCAGGAAAGGGTGCTTCAAATGACTTAATAATTTTCCACCATTATATCTGAGAAAAAATAAGTGCCATTATAGAGGAATATTGAAGTCTGATCAGTAACTTCAACTCACTAAAGTGAAATGTGGATTAGAGCATTTATTGGTTTACTGTATAGCTTGTTGATTATGGTTCTACCAAGCAAAGAGTAGAACAAGCAATTTATTGAGCATTTGATTACAAAGTCTCTTGTCAGCATCTGTTCAATCAGAAATTATTGGAATCTACAGAGCACTCAAAGTGTGAAATACATTGATTCCTAAATCTGAAGAAAGGCTTACAGTATTGAGAGGGGTCCTGTCTCACTGTATGCACATGCTTTGCATTAAGGTCTCAGCTTCAGTTCTTGTCATTTCCAGATAGCTTTTGGAAAAGACCAGTGTGTGAAAACTGTTGCCAGGCACCACACTCTAAATAATACTAACCTAAATAGATCGATGGTTCACTTAGTGGCAGCTTTCTGTGTTCATTGTTCTGTGTGCCTAACCTTTTGCAGAACAATTTCATGCATACTATGGAAGTTACTGTTTACCTTGATTACATGTTGTTTGCTGTTTCAGTATATTGTAAACTAAGGCAAACACTGATTCCAATAGACCGAAGGTCTGATGCACCCTAAAAGTGTCTTTTTGTATTCCTTTTTATTTACTTATTTGATTAATAGCATGCCTTTCTACAAAAGAAAAAAGGCACTCAGCACAGCTGCATTTTTCTATCCCTGTTGAAGCAATGCTTTAAATGAAAGTGATCTCAACTGCATCTATGAATCCCTGAAAAGTTTAAAGATCGGCATATTAACTGCATATTTTAGGAAAATGCCATATCATTTAAAATGCATTTCCTGTAGACAGGGGCTGGTAGTTAAACATATTTATGAAAGTGGAGTATAAATCTCTCTTCACATTCTGATACAATTCTCTGTTAAAGAAATATGAAGAAAGATTCCTGAAGGCTGACATTTCTCTGTACTTACACAAGCACTGTGCTGTCATCATTAAAATGGATATTGTCGTGGTTCTGTTCCAGTAATGCTCAGAGGGTTCAAAGCTCAGTTCAGTTTTCAGAAATAGACACCCATTTTTCTTTTTACCCATTTTCCCCAAATTAAAGCATTGACCACAGAACACAAACTTGCACAGACAAGGCAAGAGATGCATGTATGCCACCACAAAAACAGTACAAGAAAAGGCAGATTTACTGCTGTTCAGGGAAAAATAAAATAGACACTCATTACACTGGAATTAGAGAAGGAAGGCATTTCAGGTCAAAGTCTGGGAAATTTTACTCAAGTTTCCTTTTCCCCTCAGTTGGTTATCTTGTTGTGCCTGTTAAATGTAATCAAGGCTTAACTGTGATTAACCTTTAATGAACCCTGAAGGCTGGATTTGCATGCCACATCAAAACCTTCAATTCTGGGGGTTGTATATTCAAGATGGTGGCAGTACATGCTCTGCCTAATCGTTGGTTATTTAACCTGGAATGATCTACTGTGTTAGGCATAGTGGATCTGTGTTTTGTTATTTGTGTCTCTCCTTTTTGTTGTCAAGGGCCACTAGTTATCTGAACTATATACATTATTAAGTTGATCACTCCCAGCAAAAGAAACAACAAAGAATACATAATTGTATGTGGGGTTTTTTTTTTAGCAACATCTTGTTCTTGGAAAACTTAGTTGACTGTAAAATCACCAGTATAGAATATAATTAGTTATAAATACTTAGCCTTTTTAGTTTGCCTGATGGCTTAAGGTCTAATGAATCCTTCGCTAATATGCCAAAGTACTGGGAGATTTTTCAAAAGTAGGGACAGGTCTGGCCACCAGGATTCAAAATCATATGTGCTAGCTATAGATTAAATGCCATGTGACTCTAATCTTTGGAGAAAAGGCAAGAAATCAAGCAAGAAATCATAAATAAATATGAGTCAAGATGTTTATTGGCCTTGTTCACATGTAATGCTAAACATGGGTTAGTGTAGAGTTGAGCAAGGGCAATTCTTATACACACATTCTTCCATTTCCCCATCTTATGTGACTACAAGAAGGAATGTGGAAATGTTTGCAACTTATGATATATGAATCCAGAGAGAATGTTTTCAGGGGAAACAAAGCAACTGCAAACCATAGTTTCTGAAGCCGACTTCTTTTACCATTTCTGTTTAAGATTGGCCACAATTTAAAGTTTTGATGTAAACTATGGCTAATCTAAAAGAGAAGCAGAGACATCCACTGTCCTGATTGTGGAGAGCCTGTGAGCAATCGCAATGGTGGTATACTTGGTCCTGTCCTTAAAAGAAAAGACAGCGATTTCAAAATACGGCCATATAGACAAGAACCAGAAGGCCAGATAAGAGAAGGTTTGACTCCATCCATAAAGGAAGCCACAGCCTTGAATTTAGGCAACCAGATAGGGATTTCATAGATAGGACATTTTGTAGGGCTTTCATTCATAGGATTGGCATAATAATATGTTTAAAATAACAGTAATACTTGTCCCATAACTGAACTAGCATTTCATTTTGTAGATTTCACTTCTACTGCCTAGAAAGTAGGGATGCGTGAGGAATCTGGGGCTGGGAATCCATTGACTTCCCTGGGCTAGGCTCCTTGGACTCTGATCCACTTTGCAGAGGTCCTAAATCTAGGTTTCTGGTGAGCACATGCAGGCCACCTTCACTGGGTTTAACTATAGCAAGAAGCCATGGGAGCTTGGGCAAGCAAACAGGTGCCTGAAGGCACCATACCCCACCATGGCTAAACACCCTCCGTGGCTGCAGTGGTCATGAAAACCAGGTCAGAGCCTTAGAATCATAGAATAGTAGAGTTTGAAGGGGCCATGAAGGCCATCGGGGCCAACCCCCTGCTGTTGCAGGACACCAGGGTATACCATCCCACTCAGATGGCTGTCCAGTTTCTTTTTGAATGTCTCAAATGTGGAAGAGCCCCCCACCTCTCTGGGCAGCATCAGTCGGCACTTATTGATGTAGAACCCTGAGCCATGGCATACTGTTAGGGCCAGACATCCTGATCTGTGATACTACATAGGTTTTGGTTTGCTAATAAGGAGCCATATAGGACTGTCCTGAAAATCAGGTTTATCGTCCCCCAAGCCCTTTCTCACAAAGACATATAAAATGAAGCCTCTTCCCAAATGCCCCGAGAAAGCTTCTCATTAGCAAAACAAAGTACCCTAACAACTTTTAAACTTGTACATAGTTCTCACTAGTAAGAGTGTGGAAAGAGCTGCTCCATTTTTCTCACATCAAATTATTCATTTGCTAGTATTAATCACTGTGTCTCTTGGCTAACACATTCACTATTAAACTTACTCAGCTTGACTGTTCAGTGACCTTTATATAAAATGGAGATAATCCTCCAATTCATAAAATAAAGACAATTATGATACTAGGAAGAAATTTCTGGCACTGTCTTCTAGAAGATTCATTGGGATTAAAACAAGAAATACAGGATAATTTAGTTTGTGAAATGCCTCATCAAGATTTAAGATTTACCTGGGGAAAAACTAAACTAAACTAAACATTGGGGGGCACCAATCTATTCAGCATTTACTGTTGCCAACCCCAGTCATTTAAGTTTGAGTTAGACCCTGAAACGGCTGAAAATAATGAACAAAAAGATAAACTGTGGGTAGCTATATATAATTTCATGACATTTGGATCCTCATAGCAACTTTGAAACGTTACTGTGTAATGATATAATTTTAAAAAAATACAGCTGACTCACACAGCTAGATTCTACGCCTGTTTACTTAGAATTAAATCCCAATTATTTGGCCTTGGTACAAAGATGTAATACATGCCTAGCCCTGCCTACGCTTGCCTGTTTTGAAAACCTGGAGGAATGATTAGTGTCCTTTAGTTTCCTGGAGCTCCCTTTGCTTGTTCTTGTTATATGCCATCAAGTTGTCTCTGACCTGTGTATACCCTATGAATGAAATCCTACAAAATGTCCTATCTGCTCAGCTATTCTAAATTCAAGGCTGTGGCTTCCTTTATGGAGTCCATTCATCTCATATTTGACCTTCTTTTTCTTCTCCTCTCTTCGACGTTTCCTAACATGATTTCCTTCTCCAATGAGTTTTGCCTTCTCAAAGTACAACAGCTTCAATTTTGTCATTTTTGCCTGTAAGCGAAGTTCTGACTAACACTTGTTCATCCTTCTTTCTTTTGGTCCAACATATTCATAAAGTTTCTCTCCAGCACCATGTTGTGAATGCATCGATTTTCTTCCTCTTAGCTTTCTTCACTGTTGAGCTTTTGCATCCATACATAATGACTGGGAATGGTCTTGGCCTTGGTCTCCCATGAATCATCCTTACTTCTGGTTCTCTTTTCTAGCTCCATCATCACTGTTCTTTCCGGTCTCAATCTTCTTCAAACTTCTTGGCTACAGTATCCATTAGAATTGATGGCTGAGCCAAGGTACACAAATCTTTCACAATTTCTTCATTACTGAAGTAATCTTCATTACGGTAAGGTTCTGTAATTCTGTAGTTGTGATGTTTGTTTTCTTAATGTTCAGCTTCAGTCCTGCTCTTGCACTTTCTTCTTTCACTTTCATTGAGTGTTGTTTCAAGTCATTGCTGCTTCCTGCCGGTAAGATGCATATCTTAAATTATTTATGAGTCCTCTGCAAATTTTCACTCCTCCCTCTGATCATAATCCAGCTTTCATTATAATGTTATCTGTTTGCAGACTGAATAGATAGGGAGATAAAATACAGAGTTCTCTGGCACTGATAGGAAATCATTCTGTTTCTCCACATTTCATCCTTACAGTAACTTCTTGTCCATGATACTGATTACTATTAAGACAATCAAGCCCTGAGGCATCCCTATTTCTTTCAGGACCACCCATAGCATTTCATGATCTACACTGTCAAAGGCTTTGCTGTAGTCTATAAAGCACAGACTGATCTTCTTAAGTTTTTTTGTTGAGCTTTAGAAGCCAATGTGTATTTGCAATATGCTTTCAAGTCCCTCATCCTTTTTTTAGAATTCACCTTGAACATCAGCCATTTCTTCCTCCATATAGGGTAGTATTCTTTGTTGCAAAACCTTGAACATCACTGCGCTTGTGTGGGAAGTTAGTACAGTGGTCCTAAGGTTGCTGCACAATTTTGCACTTCCTTTCTTGGGGACTTGAACATTTCCAGGCTGAGGGCCATCTTTTTGTATTCCATCTTTAATGACATATCATTGTTAGGTTTTGGACCAATCCAGTCTCTGTAGTTTGGGATAGTTCTGTTCATATCCCATCTACTCCAGGTGCTGTATTCTTTCCAAATTCTTTCAGAGCCTCACTTTCTACTATTGCTGCCTTTCCCTCATAGGACTGCTTTCTGAAGGAAGGATTCCTCTCCTCTCTTCTGCATTTTGTTTCCAGTTTCTCTTTATTTTCTTTTGGTAGTATGACCTTGCTTGTCTTTCAGCATTCTGAATCTATTAGTAATTTATTCTAACAAGAGTAAGTGCATTTTGCCCAAAAAACAGGAGAGCATTTCCTGATAAATGGCTATAATATAGATCCCCTCCTGGCAACTGTTAGGCCCAGAATGGTGAATATATGCGTGACCCTCGTTTCCAATCCATTCCGTATGCCTTGCTGAAACTCAGCTTTGACAGCTTGCAATCATAGCAGTGGCTTTACCTTATTGAGTGCTGCTTGCCCTGTGGATTCACTCTGAGTATCCAGAGCAGAGGTGGCCTCATCCAGCAGCAGGAACTTGGATTTTCTGGCCAGGGCATGGGCAAAAGCAATGTGCTGTTTCTGCCTTCCACTCAGCTGGGCTGCCCTTTCTCCAACCATGGTGTGAAATCTCAAGAATGGTAGGAAGACAGGAATAGAGGGCATTACATTAAATTTTCACTATTCATTTGACAAACAAGAAAAGGTTGTTACTGTTCAAGATAATGTATTAGAAGCATTTCACAGGCAAACCAACAGAGCAAGCAGAGATGATGTCGGTTTGTTCTGTAGGGTATCATAGCCCAGTAAGTGCAGGAAGGACTTGTCTCTCCCAGCACCTGGTATTCTAGAGATGGTGCCAGTAACGCTTGTATCACTGAATCCATCAGGCCAACATAGCAATAATCCCAGAGTGAAAAAGAGAGTGCTACAATGGCATATAGTAACCAAGATTCATTGAATGAATACAGTCCAAACAAAACATTCCATGGACTTATCTGGCTATTTATAGTAGATCCTTAATGTTTCCCATAACGTTAACCCCAATTAAATATTGGCTAGTACGGCCATAAATTTAAGATCGCCACCACTGATCCTGTTACAACAAGAATCCAAAGCAGGATGACTGAATATCCAGAACAGATATGAGCAAATAAACTAGCTTAAGAAATCTGATGCATCATGTTGCAAGAATGAAGATGCTTGTAATCATGAATTTTGTAACAGATTTCCTTTAAAACATAATATGAGGCAAAGGTAATTCCCAGGGAGAAAGAGAAAGAGAAAGAGAAAGAGAGAGAAAATGAATGAGAATCAACACACAGTAGTAACTATTTAAAAATCACCCTACTATGCAACAATGAAAGAAAGAATCACATAAACTACCTAATTTCATATATTAGAAATCAATGCAGGATGTTACAAATGACTGCTGGTCATGGACTTAGATAATAATAAAATAATAATAATAAAATACACAAAGCTGGTGAAAGGAATGTCCTACTGAGATATCCTTGTGGATATCTCTTTTTATACTTAAACTATTTCTTCAAAATCTGATGAACCATCCTGAAGTGCCATCCTGAACCATCCTGAAGATATCCACAAGATATCTGATAGTAATCAGCTATTATATGCTGATATCAGGCTTCTTGTGGATATTTTCCACAAATAAGGCCTATTTGTGGGTATTTTCAGACACCTAACGGGTGGAAGGTATATGGTATAATCTAGAGCAGTCTTTGGGCCTGTGACAACTACTATGAGAAAAAATTATTAGTGTACCTATTCAGAAAGATAAGTAAGGCCAGTTCTATTAGCAGAAAACTTTCCCATGAAGTAGCTAAAATAATTAAGTGGAGTGGAAGAAGCATCAGAAGGCTGACACACTTAAATCCTTTCACACTCTGAGTTCTCAGGATCATGATAAAAACATTAAAATCAGGAACTCACATGAGGGAATTTTGATGTGAAGTCAGAAGCAACTACTTCTTTAGCTGCTTGCTCAATTCCAGCATCAGTAATATCCTCTCTGCCATGTCAAATGTCGTCTGCTATTGTGGTCCCAAACAATACCGGTTCCTGGCTTACAATGCCAATGTTTTCTCTCAGTCACTTGATATTAAGTATCTGGATATCGTGTCCATCAATGGTAATCTGCAGAAAGAATGATGGAATTTGAATGAGCCAAGAATAATTTTAAGGGAGCTATTAATAGTTAAAAAGATAACTCTGCAACTATTCAGGGAAAAGTGAGAAATATATTGAATTCTGGGCATTATTTCAGACTTTAAAAACACATGTTACAGTATTATCTAGTATAAAAGTATTAGTGTAAATATCGACCTTTTCTGTATGTGTGAATTTTGACCTCTGGAAATGAATTGTGATCTCTGGAAGTTATGTTGAGCTCCATCAGGAATGGAAGACAGAAGAAAAGAGTGGGGAGAAACTCCTGAGAAACAAGTATGAGCCTCTCTTCGATTGAAAAAATGTAAAATCTTTGAATCTGGGGGCTATAGTAATTCATCCTTTCAGGATTCAGTAAAACAAAACTGAAGTCGCACTTCAGGATGGTTCATCAGATTTTGTAGAAGTATAAAAAGAGAAGACGTAAAAGTAAGACAGGCATTGAATAGCTCACAGTTGCCTTAGTTAACAAAATGGCATGAGCTCAGGTCAATGTCATATAACACTGATTCCCTAACAAACTTTAGTGAGCTGCTTTTTTATACGCTATATCTTAGATACTCTAAAATGAATAGCTGTGGCTCAGCCAAAACATACCTGGCCCGCTGGATCACAGAATTTCTGCAGTAACTGAATTGTAGTGTTTTTCCTTTAGTCACTGGAACCCATGAGAGCAATAGTTTTCTCAGTTTGGATTTTTAAGTTAAGACCTTTGAGAATCTGGAATTATTTAAATAACTTTGTTTTTAAAACACAGAGAACTTTTGCCATCTCTCCTTTTTAATAGCTGGCCCTGTCACATTGCCCTAAATCCTGAAAAGCTGACATTTTCACTTTCCATGTAATGAATGGAAACACAGCCTCAGCGTGATGTAAACCTGCCAGGCACATTTCAACTAGTGCTACTTCAGATATATAAAGCTGTCTGGCAGGAAAGCATTTGTCCCTTTCTTGCACAGTTTGATCTTGCCAAGGTAAATGATGACAATAGTTGCACATCTCCTGCCTCCTGGCTTGATGCCCATTGGCCTGTTTAGTTTTAGCTGTCCATCAAAGCCACAAGTCCCAAAGACGAATCAGTATGAATAGATTCTAAAGAACGCTGGCTCCCAAGTACCATCCTTATGTGTACTTTCAAGGGTTGGTTTACATGTGCCAAATGCTAAGAGAGGCACCAAGGAAGGAAAGAGCAGACAGGACTGGGACTCAGCCAGTTCTTCTCCAGAGCAGATGTAGAGAGCAGACAGCACTTGCTTGCCTCCATGTGACCCTGTCAATTCAGTCCAGGTGGTAAAAATAAAGTAAGCATAAGATGCATGTGACGCTGGAGGGCTGACACTAAACTTAGGTGAGGAGCCCTTACTGGCATTCTTCATTGCATGCTGTGTTGGTCAAAGACCATGAGAAATAAATATCACACGGGTAAACTTCTTCAGAAAGGTAACTTGTAGTGGTAGGATTGGGTTAGTGAAGGTGAACCCTAAAATGATGCATTCATTTGATATATTTGGCATAGATATTCAGCACTGAAGATATAAATGGGTCTTTTGTCCAGGAGAGGCCTTCTACTGCAGAAAAACTCTGCCCAAGAAAGTTGCCTTTTGCTTTTTAGTGGAGAAAATGCTTTCAACCACAACAATTTGCCCATTCAGCAGGGACTGGAGAGGCTGCTGTGGGGAGGAGGGGTTGTGAAACTCTGCTTCTGCCTAAAACTGAATTCAGATTTTTAAACAGGTATTTTAAAAATTTAATGCATCTTTAATCAGGTAGAAAAGGGCAATACTCATTTCGCTTATTCAAACAGTTCTGTCTACACACAGAGAGAGAAATATGCATCTTACATGAGCATCAGGTGGGGAGGTGCAGCTAAAATGGATGTTTCTGAATTCAGTATCATCTTGGAACTTGTCTAGCTTGAACCCGTCATTGGAACTGCAATATATGGGACAGAAAACACCTTTACACCTGTAGTTTAACATATGTATGTTTTGATAGGGGCAGAGGGGTGATTAATGATTAATAAATGAAAAATTGTGCTGTGTTAAATGTTATATTATGTCCCTCTCTTCTGAAAGTGATGTGTTCCTAAACTTGCCATTTCAGTTCAAAGGCTCCATGGTCTTTGGCAAGTTTCAAAGGTCAGCACCTAAGAAAACAACTAGCAATGCATCTAGTATACTTAAAGGATGTTTGCTGTGGTTATCTGCTTATACCTTGTTAGAAATCAGTATTATTAAAGGAAAAGCAACTAAACAGTGTGATTGTCAGGCAAGCCTGGTTCCTAAAGGGATGTAATCCATTGTGATAAGAATTTGTATTTTGTAAATCAATTGGCAGAAAAGGATACTATATTTATATTGCTTATGTGTAGAAGATACTTTTTGTGTCTACCTTGCACCTCAGTAGAAATCAGTGATATATGCATTCCAGAGGAAGGTGGATTGAAACACTTCTTGTCCTCCTGAAATGACATTCCTGCCTGTAAATGGTCTTTCTAGAACATCTCAACTTAAATTGTCCAGAACATATTAATACTATTGCCACTTGGCCAGTTTTGAATGTTTTTCAGTGCATATTAAATTGCCACGGTCTCTTGCTTCCCATTATCAACACTTACAAGAAACAGAGTTGCCTTTCTGAGGCTTTAAGAAGAGGATTATTTCCTAAATCTCAAGCTTCATTTTTAGTAGTATTATTGTATTGTTCCATTAACTTACTATTAGTTTCTTGGGGGGGGGGGGGCTTTGGTCAGGTGTGAGCTATTTTATTCTAAAAATCTGTTAGACAGTGCACATTTCCAAGGCAGAGCAAAAACATTCACCCTCTGGTTGAGACTGCAATGGCCTCACTACTGCTCCACCCTGTTGCATTAGGGGACCATCTCCCTTCCACCCATCCTTCCACTCCACATTCAGGGACCCATCTCCCCTCCATCCGGTCATTTGCCAATTAACTTGTCAAAAATCTCTCTGCCAATTTGCTTACCATAAAATCATGGCCCTGTCTGGAAGTTATTCTCCCCATGACTTCATTTCACCACTTCTCTCAGAGTGTATAAAAGGTGACCAGAGAAAAAGCGAAAATGCAATAACTTAAATAAGATCTCCTATGCCCAAATTTTGAGCATACTAGAGGAGACATTTACATGCCCATTTTATTCAAAATATTGGAAGTGCTGGTATAAGTAAAAGACAATGAAATTGTCACTGGGTTTCTGTGTGCAGTGAGGGGAGCAGGGAGGAAGCCAATGAGCCTGAGGGTGGTCCTGTTCCTCTCACACATACAGATGTGAAAAAGACAATACTTAAACCACCCCAAATGACAGTCAGAAATCAAGTCAGCAGATTACACATACACCAGCTCAAAAAACCCCAGTCATCTTTATGTTTTCCTTCTTTGTCTTCTCATTTTTGTTTCTAAAGATATTTAAGCAGAAAATCAAATAAACCAGAGTCATCTGAAGCCAATCAAAGATACTGCAGAGCTTGAACAAAACTTATTTGTTCTGGTTCTTCTTTAGATGATCATTTTACTTGGAAGTTCTGTCGATGGCACAGCAGATTAGAATGAGCAAAATGAATACTTTAAGAATCTTATTTATACATACCCATTCGGAAATAGTTCCACAAACAGGGATATCTACAGAATTTTTAAAAACAGATATGTTTATGTTGTTCTTATTCAAAACCACCTAGCCAATTTGCATTGTTTCTGCATATAGAGACAAATCTACAGTGAAATTAATGGCTTTAAAAAGGCATGGTATGTAACAAGGTGAGTAACAAGACATGAAAAAGGCTGTCTGAAATCAATTAAACAGAATAGTATACATAGGATATTTTACATCCTTATATAGAAAAGTATGCATATATAGCACAGAGATGATAATTTTATGAACATGCTCTTATTTAACACAAAGCTTGAAAACACATGAGATTTTATCATTATACCATCATCTCAAACAATGTTTATCTGCCCCTCCCCCCATGCCACATGATTTACCTAATCACCCTCAAGGGGTATGGCTTATCGTGTCATCCAAACCCAGTGAAGTGCATGGCAAGGGGGTCTTCTGAGCCACCCCAGTGCACATGGGATTTGAGGTGGTTTGGAAGTGGCTCCCCATTACGCATGTTGCCAGGTGTGAATCACACACTAAGCAGTATGGCTAATTAGGTAAATCATGTAGTGCAGGACTAGCATGGGAAGTTGGGGGAAAAGAGCCACAAGAACTTCTTTCATCTGGTAATTATGCATATTTAGTCAATAACATGCATCATGTTTGAGTGGGTGCTGGAAAACATAAAGTTGTTTACCATTAAAGGATCTTTTTATCTGCTGATGGGGAAACGTCTGAAGCCAGGTCTTCACCAAGAATCTCTAGGAATGGATTTCAAAAGGTTTTTCCCACAACTTGAATGACTCATCATATTGCCATTTTCAGATGCAACAGTTAAGTCAGGGTTGCAGGAAATCCTAGTTTATCATGATATCCAAGCATAACCTTGTTACATAACTTTCCCCACAGAAGCTTTTTTTCAGTTCTGTGAAACTCTGTGGGAACAGATCCTCTGAAACTCCCCAGTCCAATAAGTCGCTAAGTCACATCATGAAGAGAGATCAGTTTGCCAAACACAAGCAAAGCAGCTTGAAAAATTGTTATTCCTGGTATGTTCAGATGCACAGGTTGCCAAGCTACTCATGTAGTTTTTCAAATTTAAATTTAAATAGAAGCTGAGTACTTCTTTTATAATTCAAACATATATGTTGTTAGCATTCTTATAACCCCTTGATAATGTCTAAGTGGTAATAGGATAATTGGATTCCCAAACCAGAGTTCAGGGACAGAGCTCCAACCTTGGCACCTGGGATCTGTCTTCTGATTCCTCCTCCACCTAAATCTTGCATGGGAAGAACGATGGCAGATGTCTCTCCCAGGATGGGAAAGCAATCTCAAAGAGGGAGTAAAGAAGGTCTTTGGGGAGAGGAGAGAAGACTGGGACCAAGAGAGTATGAGCTACCCTGATGGTGCTTCAGTCTCCTCCCCTGGCCCTCTGAAGCACTTCAACCAGACATCTTCAAATGGTTGTCTATTTGCAGAGCAAGAAATTCAGGGTGGCAGAAATTACCTCCTTTGTTTCTTCTGATCTATGTTGGATGCTTGTAACCCTCCATGCCAATCTTAGCCACTAAAGAGGGAAGTGGACAAAAACTGAATAGATATTTATGAAAATAACCCTTAAGCATATTAGCAGCCAAGGTTACAGCTGCTCAGTGCAATTTCATAGACTTTTCTTATACTTGATAGTTTAAAATTGTTTAGATACACATGCTGTCTGTTGATACATTTCCATGTAAATTGTTTTTTATATTATGTATAATGTATTTAATAGGTTTTAACCTCTATAAACCTCCCAGAGAGTTTTGCTTATGAGCACTAGAGAAATGTAATAAACAGAACCAATATATATAAACCAAAAATTGTAACAGCTTCTACTATTTTGTGTGTGAACATAGTAAACATTCCTTCACAAAGTTATACAAATATAAAGGAATAAAGATACCATGTCTTACCAAGGCTGGATATTTCATACACTGTGTATTTTCTCAAATGATCTATTTCCTTGTTACGTGGTACAGATTAAGATAGAGAAGTAAACAGTATTTATCAGAAAGCTACATTAAAAAAGAATGTGACTTATCATCTTTCCAAAATAGCTCTTGTTAAAATTCAGGTTAAATATTTTTATTTAAGTCATTTTTATTTTATTCCTTTGCATATTTCTAGTCTCTCTGGACAAATTTGACTAAATATTAATTAGTATTAATATAATTTAATATAAATAAATCAATATTTAATTGATTTGTGTCAGTATTAAAAGCAAATCCAGATCTTATTTTTATCGCTTATTTATACAAATAAATGCTTATTTGATTTCTCAAAATATGGGAATCTCAGATGACTGTGGATTTTTCTTGATTAGTAAAAAAGAATTCCAATCCCTGCAACAGCTGTTATATAGACAAAGTAAAAACATAATATAAAACAACCTGAAAGAGCAATAAGAAGAGAGGAAATTAACCCAAGAGAACAAAATATGAAGTATTTTGCACAAAGAACAAAATTTGTTTAGCTAGTGTCAAAGTGTCACTAGCACTAGCTGAACGTTTCTGACGTACACACAACAAGGTTCCGCTGACCAGTCCCTGTCTCTGGTTGCCATCCATTTATTTATGAAGTTCACAGCAACATCTGGATGGGGGGCTCTTGAACAGTTCTTAATGGATGGACACATAGATTCAAAGCTGGTATCTCAAAACAAACTGGAAGCCAGTGAAGTTGCAAAGTATTTTAAGATTCTGCTGCCATCTTCTAAACTGGCAGAAGTTTCCAAATACTTTGCAAGGATATCCTCACATGGATGCATTGCGGTCTCAGA